CATTTCTAGTCTATAAAAGAGATGAACTAGTGGTGAAAGGGTTCACGGATGCTAGTTTTCAACTCGATGTAATTTTTAATCTAACCATGATGATTTTAAGTCACAATCGAGATTCATTTTTCAGTTGAATGATGGAGCCGTTAATTGGAAAAGTTTTACGCAAGAAACGAGTGATCGACTCAACAACCGAGACTCGAATATATTGCAGTTGTAGAAACAACTAAGGAGGATGTTTGGATTCGTAAATTTTTATCCGAACTACAAATGATTCCTAGCATTGTTGATCTAATAGTATTGTATTATGACAACAACGAAGCTATAGCATAAGCCAAGGAATCGAGGTCTCATCAAAAGTCCAAACATGTATTATGATGCTACCATCCGATTAGAGAGATTATTAGTCATGGTGACATAAGGATAGAAAAGGTCCGCACCGATGATAAAATAACCGACCCCTTGACTAAGCCTTTGTCACAACAAAAACATGAGACCCTTACTCAATCATTGTGATTAAGGGACGTTGTTGCTTGGCTCTAGTGTAAGTGAGAGATTGTTTGTATAGGTGCCTAAGATCCAACCATGTTTGGATGGACTTGAGTTAATGTATTATTGCATTATTTATTTTAATAATAATAAAGATGTCATTCTATTAATTCTTGTGTTTTGTGTTTTTAAATTCATTAGAATTAGATAGAAGTCCTTATGATATACATTTTGTAATAGTGATTGATCGAAAGATGTGAGACAAATAGTAATGCATATAAATGATATCATTAAATGTCCCAAGTCATAGCATTGTCAAGAATAGACACTAACTATATGCGGATAGACTTATGAGTGCTATGCTCATGCTATATGATAGCAGTAGGAGATCTCACACCTATTGGCATGGTGATGCCAAAGCAAGCACTTAGGTGATTTATGTTAGAGAACATGTCACCGGATTTGACTCGCCATGAGAACCCATTTGGTTTTAGTCTATGAAAATCTCATACGAGATGGATACAAATGACCCTTAGACTTGAAGTCATCATGATTGTCTCATTAAAGGACCTATGCAATTTGTCATTCGTTTCAAAAGATCCATTAAAGGGTTATACGTGGGTAATACGTTGGGTGCACTAGGAATCTAATAGAGGTAGGTGTATGACTAAGATAGGACATGTCATTCCTTGTATGTTAAAGGAGTTATCATATTGCACTTTGATAAATGTCTCGCTCAAGAAATCTATGGTCATAGTAATAGTACACCAATATAACATACTCGGTTTACTATAAGAGCTAAGACATTTGGGAATCAAAGAAAACTTATGTGATTATAATTGAATAAGACTTATAACCAAATTTGAGATCATAGTGTGATAAATTGACATAAGGACTGAATTGTATGATAACCATGCTCATTAAGGGTAATAGTAGATTAATTAATCCTCTTAGAAAATTAGTTAGTCATAATGCCTTCGCTAGAGGCTATTCTTGATTTATGTATAAAGAAATAAGAGAGGAGTCTTTTATTCTTGATATATTACCAACATATCTAAGAGCTTATTAAGTCACATGCATAAGTTTAAGTATTTCACATTATAAATGAGAAGCAAAAATATTGAAAACAATTTTCAATTAGGAAAGTTTTCTGTTTTGGAAAGGGTTTTCAAGATGGAAAGTTTCCTTAAATATGAAGTTTCTTAAAATAGAAAGTGTCCTTAATTAGGAAGTTTTCTATTTTTGAAAGGGTTTTCAAGATGGAAAGTTTCCTTAAATAGGAAGTTTCTTAAAATGGAAAGTTTCCTTAATAGGAAGTTTTCTAAAGTGGAAAGTTTCCTATTTTAGAAATCAATTTTCTAATTTTGAAGTTTCCTTGAATATGAAGTTTTTTAAAATGGAAAGTTTTCTTAATTAGGAAGTTTTCTAAAATGGAATGTTTTCTAATTTAGAAGTTAGTTTCAAATTTGAAAGTGAATAACCTAAAATGAAAATGAGTTTTCTAATTTAGGTTAAAAGGCATTTTGAAAAATTATTTCCTAATGTGGACCCACCTAAAATAATATAAGATTATTTATTTGGATAGTCCAAATACATTAATTGGGCTAAAATAGTTTTGGCCTATTAGATTTAATTAAAAGCCTTAAGATATTTTGGTATGAGGATAAATATTAACCTTATTGAATAAAGATGAATGTTTTAAAGATAATGATCAAAAGTCCACATGTAGAAATAACACCTCATCCTCGAAGGATAAAGAAGCAATAACCTAAAGTCCTAAAGGAGACTTAATGTCGCCCCTCTCGTTGTCCTCGGAGGATAAAGAAACTCTCCTATAAATATAAGGGCGAGAGAGAGGTGCGACAACTAAGCAAAAAAAGAGAGAGAAAAAGAAAAAACTCAGCCAATCCTAAAAACTAACTATGGCACATGACAAAGTGAAGAAAAAGGAGGAAATAGTTTTCTCCAAAAACCCTAAGCACAAATACACTATTTCCTTCTCTTTTAAGGTTGTCGTAAAATTATTCAGAATTGATTTTATAGGAAACACTACACAAATCGAAAAAGGTAGAGCTAGCACCTTATCGATTTTGAGTGCTTCTTTATGGATACTTGAACTACATGAATCATCAAAGAGATCGGATAATTGTACAACTTTTTTGATAAAAGAATTTGGATCCGTGCTATAAAGAGGTAATTCTTTATTCATTGTCTTAAATTCATGTATTTATGGTTAATAGATTCAACGGTTTGATCTTAGGACCTTAGATAAAGGAAATTTTATTTATTTATTCCACACCTCCATAGGATGCATGATCCTTCAACTATCATTGAAAATCTCACTATCATTTTCGTGCCTTACCCACTTCTTTCGGAAGTTCTTCAACTAAGCCATTTCTTTACCAACTTCTAAGGTAGCTATATACTCAACTTCGATGGTGGAAAGAGCAATATACTTTTGAAGTCGAGATACCTAACTCACAATAAGTACCACTCAAAGTGAAAGCATAACATGTTGTACTCTTTATATTATTCAAATCATCATCTAAGTATGCATCTATAAATCCTTGTAGAACAATAATATTCTTCTTAAAATAAAGGACCATATATGAAGTACTTTTCGGTTAACAAAGAATCCATTTTACTCATTCTTAATGTTTCTTTCTCGCATTTACTATGTACCTACCGGCAACTTTCATTACATGAGCTATATCAGTGTCTTGTGCAAACCATAACATTCATTAGTCTTTCAACCGTATATACATAAGGGACCATAAACATTTTTTATTTTTTTACTCTTCAATTGTCTTTAGTGAATTGCTCCTTTTAAAGCCCGATGTGGCTTTCCAAATGAGTGCTTCGATCTTCCCATCTTAATGGTTAAATCTACTCCAACACTTTCTAATTGTACTTTTTTTAAGATAAAGTCAATGTAGCTTCCGACCCATCTCTATCGATTCTCATCCCAAGTATCTATGCAAATCCTAAGTCCTTCATCTCAAATTATGTATATAAGCACCGTATACTATGGATCCTCATCCACATTAGTTTTCACGACTTAACATAAAAGAAAAGAGAGTACGAGTAGTTGATGCATTGTCTCGAAGAGAGCCTAATTCTTATGAAGATTTTGGCACTTTTGGTTCAATTTCTACTATAGTTCCTACTTGGTACACTAAGATAATGGATTTTTATTCGAAAAATCCTAAGATGTAAGAGATCATTTCTGCTAAAATGATCAATGCCGATGACTTTTCTCGGCTTTTCTTATACGGATGGTGTGTTGAAATATAAAAACAATCTGTACATTGGGAACGATTAAGAATTAAAGAAGAAATTGGTAGAATCTACTCTCAATTCAACTATTAAGGGGTATGTAGAAATGTAAAATTCATATAGAAAGCTCAAAAATGTATTCTATTAGCCATCTATGAAGAGTATTGTGAAGGAATTGATGGAAGAATGTGATATCTGTATGAGAGCAAAGTCTAAGAGAGATCCTCATCTAGGATTGTTACAGCCACTACGAGCATGAAAGGTATTTTTATGGATTTTGTAGAGGGTTTGTCCAAGTCTGAAGATAAGGATACTATACTGGTAATTATGGATAGATTCACAAAGTATGGATATTTTATAGTTTTGTCTCATTCTTTTCAGCTAAAGATGTGGCTAAAAAATTCTTGCAACAAGTATACAAGTTACATAGGTTACCTGCCTCTATTGCTATTGACATGGACAAAATATTTATCGGTATGTTTTGAAAGGAATTGTTCAAAATCTTGGGAATCAAGTTGTTAATGAGCTCGGATCCACAAACCGAAGGTCAAACTGAGAAGTTGAATCAGTGCTTGGAACCTTATTTGAGAGGTATGTGTATGAAATGTCCTAGAAAAGGGAAACAGCTGCTTCATTTGGCACAATGGTGGTACAATTATAGTTTTTATTCTGCAATTCAGATGAGTCCTTTCTAGACTTTAAATGGATTTTCACTGCCAAATAGGGAGATTGTGATTCAAGATGCTTCTGCAGTGGCTTTTGTTAGCCTGTTAGTGAGTTTGTGTGGAAAACAAGGGCTATGGATTCATTTTTGCATAATCAGTTAACAAAGGCCCAGCATAAGATGAAACATATTGCATATAGAGATTGAACAAAAAAGGAATTTGAAGTTGTTGGTCAGGTTTATCTGAAACTTCAACCCTATCAACGAACAAGTCTAGCATTGAGGAAGAATTTCACGCTAAACCCAAGGTTCTTCCGTCCATTCACTATCCTGCAGAAGTTTGGGAAAGTGGCTTATAGGTTAGATTTGCCAGAGAATGCTCTTTTTCATCCAATTTTTCATGTCATATCAACTTCATTGCCTGCAATTGACGAGGATGGCCACGTGAAGTTGTTTCCAGTAGCTATATTGGACATGAATATCATGAATAAGGACAACAAAGTAGTGGTGATGAGACTCATTCAATGGACTGGAATACCAGCAAAAGATGTGAAAATCACCTTCTAGCATCACTAGGCTAAAGCTGCGTATTTCTTGCCGGGAAGGAGATCACAGCAGTTCCAAGCCCAACTTCCTTACCCCAATAGCAATCTGGAAGGACATAAAGCATTGTATCTCGGTGAATGCAGCATCTTCACATAGATCTCCTTTTGAGACACGTTCTAAAACACAGCTTGCCGAACTTTTCAAAGACAGAAGCCACAGCTGTTTCTATATCTTAGTGAGGCATTACCTTCTCATCATTTTATACCCTGGTGAGGCATTCACTTCTTCTCATTTTAAGCACAGAATTCTCTTGGTATTACATTAATAGCTTTTGGAAAATGGAATTTCATCGATTTGTTAATTATTATGGGACGATCTAATTGCAGTTTTGCTGATAAAAGAAGGGGCAGCAGCTGTTGTAAAGGCAGGAAGGGTTGTAATAGCAGCTCCAAGGTAAAGAGTTAGAACACTGTCAAGATTTACTGTGTAATACTCGTTTGCAGTTGCTGACTTTAAGAAGCAGCATGATCAGCAACATTAACATCAACTAAGACACGTGGAAACAAGGTTAAGATTTAAAAAAAAAAAAAAAACGAAATATTATAATTTATTTACTCTTGGGGGGTACAGGCTGCAGGATTAAGTTACAATATGAAGTTCTTATTTTGGCAACACAACCAATTCAGTCCGTTATCTTTCTTTTTCTGAAAACATAGGCAAAAGAGGGGAATTCATCCCTAGTATTTCCTGTGTGCCAGTTCTTTTACAGTCTCGGCAAGTTGTGGCTCGTTCTCAATGCTTTGAACCCAATTTGCATTAATGTGCACCCGCTCAATACTCTGCTTCAAGGTTCTAGTCATAGCAGGCTTACTACGAGTTGCAAAGAACTCCTCTACCTCCTTGGCCTTCTCAAATGAAGCAAACTGCAGGAGAGAGAACAATATAAGCACAGATTTCAGTAAAATATTGGCTGGATGGAAAGCATTTCTATTTGAAAAACCAAAACAAGATAAAAGCTGGAGAAATCAATAACAAGAGAGATAGGGGCCGAACCGGGGAGACAATCGAACTGACAAAGCGAGTTATTAAAAATCCTGAACCCCAGGTTTTTGAAATGTAATCCCATTTATCCTGCATACAAATAATATAACAATAAATAAATAAAATAAAAACAAAAAGAATAAGGGGAAACAGAAACCAATTAGATAAAAGAATCAGGTTTAAGATTGTTCTTCCAAGTAAAAGTCGGATGATGGCAACTCTGTGAACAACTTGCGTGCGGTGTCTTAGAACCCTCTCCAAGGTAACAGATGCTCATGGCTACCAAACAACTTTACCATAAAGCTTTCCATGCTTCTAGGATGACTATCTTAATTAGTTTTTACCTTCAGCCAAGCCCAAGCTGTTTCACGTCCTTCATAGCTAACAGCAAGTCCAAAAACAGCATCTTGACTACGAACCTATATAAATGAGAAATGCACTTGTGACCATTAAGCTACAAGAGATTTTACTTCTAGATGTGAACTGCAGACCTCATTAATTGTACCAAAAAATAAAAAATAAAAAAAACCTCGGATGTCAACAAAAAGTTGAGAACTTCAAGAATTATGTTCGGATCTGGACAAGATGCTAATGAACCTGCAAAGCATTAAAACATATATTATAGAAATTTAATGGTTCATATATCATGCTTTACTTTAAAATAGAACTCATCCATTACCCATATATCATGCTTTACTTTAAAAAAGAATTCATCCATACCCAGAATGCGAGTTTTCTCCTGGCTTAGATCAGTCTCTCTATAAACCCGTAGAAGAGAATCATAATCTGATCTGTTTGCTGTGCTGACTCTCTGCATTACAGCCACATATGCTGCCTGCAACCATTATCACTGGCCATAAGGCACTGTAAATGGAGGTCTTGAATTAAAAAAATAAATTGCAAAAAGTTGGCAAACCCTTCTTATATCAGGTGAGAGGAGTGGTGTATTTCTGTCCCCTAAAAATGCATGAAAGCGCCTGCATGCTTCATCCAGTGTCAAATCATGTCCAAAATAAGCAAGGGCAGTCAAAACTTCTCCTCTCAACATTGCATCCAAATGACTTTCACCTTGCTTAGGGTCCCAACCAAGCTTCCTGTGAAGAAAAATTGAACATAGGAAAATTTTGGAGGCCAAAAGCATAAAAATTAATGAAAAAGATGATGCTTTATGGATTTAATAAATATGGTTATTTAGACCCATACGTAAATAATTTGCTTGACATATGTTTTTATATAGCATCATATTTTTTTCCCTTTGTGGTGGAGATTGCCTCCAGAACCAAACCCCTTGGCAATCTTACTGTATCTAGTTTCTTGCAGATTATAGGCAGTGACTGAGGATGTTTTTAGTGACGATTCTATTCACAATGCATCACAAGGACCTCAAAAGTGCAGGTTTGATGTTTTAACGAGTATGAAGAGCATGATATTTGGATCCACATTTTGCCTGTGGGCTACTTGTTGCAATACATATTCCTGTTGATATGTGCATGCAACAATTTCTAGTCAGTATAACTTACTCTGCAGAAAACTGGAGAATATTGATAAAAATTTGGTTAATGTAGTCCTTTAGTTCAGGGGTTGCATCAGCAGCAATCCTTCCAACTTTATAACTTATCTGTGAAAAGAAGGACCTTAATCAGGACTAATGAAATATTAAAATAAATATAAGGTGAAAGATATATAGAGGTAAAAATTACATTAATCAAGTTAGATAGCACAGTATACTCAAGTTCCTCTCTGTAAGCACCCATCAGAATAAGCAAAGAGGTCAAAGATTGCTGACGAGCCATACAAAGGGCAAATGAATCGTCCAAAATGCCTGTCAAAAGAATAACTGAGTGATAATTTTCTCTTTTTCTTCATTTGTCAAAGAGAAGCGAGTCAGTAATCCAAATTACCAAATCTGTCTGTTTCATTGAGGTACTTTTTCTCTATAGCATATCCAAGCCTAGCTCTGAGTTCCTCATCATACTTAACCCTGTAGAAACCAGTCTGATCCACATTGACTTTAATCCAAGAACTTCTACTCTCCATCTGGCATGCACCCAGGATTTCCTTGACATCATGAGTTTCAGACTTTGTTTGCAACAAGAAAGTCTTCCGTGCATCATTTGAGCAACAGCATAAAGTTATTGGGACAATCCATTGCCCATTCCCAGGGGAACCACTTGACAGAAATTGTGCCTGCCATTTGTTAAATTTGCTTCTTGAGCACAAGACTTCCAGAGGAAAATGCATTTGAATTGAAGCAGGTAATTTCACTTTAAAGAGAGATCAATAGAATAATTTTTTTAAAAAAAAAAAAATCATAAAAAACCTGTTCAAATTCCAATTTCTGATCTTTGAATTTGACAGATACAACTGGATATCCTTGCTGCCTTGTCCATGAATTCATTAGCTTGTTCACAGGTTCACCAGATCCCTCCTCAAGAGCAGCCCATAAGTCTTCAGTCTTTGCATTTGAGTAGGCATGCTTTTTTATGTATGAAGCAAGTGATCTCTGATTTACATAGATAGGTCATATCTATTTAATAAATCATGTTTAAGTAATAATATATGCATGTATGTGCAGACATTTGTATGTACTAATCCATTAACAATAAGCTACAGTAATTGAAAATAAAAGAGTTGAGAAATTAAGAGACATGTTAGAAACATGTGTCAGGTGAGCAACACATGCTATGCTTCTCAATGTCCTCTGTAATACAGGTGCAAAAACAGATATAAGAACTAGGATATAAAAGGCTACTTCAATGGTAACAATAAATTTTGAATTATGTGAGCGATACCAAATTACCAACCTGAAAGCACTCAGCACCAAGATAGCTTTGTAGCATCCGGATAACAGATGCACCCTTTCTGTAGCTTATTGCATCAAATATTTCATCGATCTCAGAAGCATGATTTATGTCCACCTGGAAAGAAAATTTTGGTTGGAAGGAAATTTTAAAATCAAGTGACAGTGTGGGGAAATAAAAACCCAATAAATGCCATTTACCTCAATTGGGTGGGATTCCATGAGGCCATCTAGCTTGAGGCCCTCAGTACATTCATCAAGAAACTGAGTCCATATTTTCCAGTCCGGGAACAAGCTATCAGTAGCTAGATAGCTCACCTGAACACATACGAACCCGTTATACATGATGCATTAACTAGCAAATGTGCAACTGGTGTAAAAATAAAAACAAGAAATCTACCCATGTAGCAAAACCCTCGTTCAGCCATAAATGTGTCCACCACTCCATGGTCACAAGATTGCCAAACCACTGGTGTGCCAGCTCATGTGCCACAACAGTAGCAACCTTAACAGCAACAAATTGAAATAATTAAACATTTCACACAAAGCAATTATACATTGTGTCAATAAACGTCTGACATCCAAAACCAATTCTAGTTAATGGACCTACCCTCTGCTTGTTAGCAGCAGCAGAATGCTGATCATCATAAAGCAAGGCTGTCTCACGATATGTAACTAAGCCATAATTCTCCATTGCCCCAGCAGCAAAATCAGGGATTGCAATCATATCTAACTTCGGGAGAGCATATGGCACAGCAAAATATCTGTGCCACTCAGAAGAGTTAATTTAGCACTAAATATCAAATAGAGCGCCAAAAAAAAAAAAAAAAAAAAAAAAAAAAAAAAGAAGCTAACTTTATGCCATAGGTAGTATAGTTTTTAGTAGTGACAGTTCATGCGTATCCATCAGTTGACAGCAGATAACTACAGCTAAGACAGTTTCAAAATAGTAGGAATGGATGATATTGATTTTTTTCTTTTTTTTTTCTTTTTGATCCAATCAATTCTGTTTAGAATCAAGCTTTTGGTGAACTATTGCAATCTTACCCCATTAGGCCCACGCCTATTTAGTCCTACCTCACCCCTTCTTCATTCTTAACTTAAATCTAATCACTCTACTACCAGGCTAACGATCAATTCATTAAGTTACTAATGGTAAAACATACTCTTTAAATAACTCAAGCGTCTTCACAGCAACATGCAATGCAAACTTCCCTTGGTTCGTCTTCCCGACTTGACAATATACACGAACTTTCACCCCTGTGAAAATTTTATAACCTCCCATAATGAAAACAGAAACATTAACCATCATATGAACCAATTCAAATCAGAGCAAAATAGTACCATCAGATGTGTGATCTTCCACATAATCAAACAAACCAATGACAACTGCAACCAAATATGTAGACATGATAGGCGTTTCTTGATAAGAAACTGTTTTCAAATCCCCATTCACCTTCTCCTCAATAACTGGCATATTAGCAAGAGCCACAAGTTCAGCTGGCACATCCAACGTGATCTTGAATGTAGCCTATGTAACACCGACAAACAACCATTACTAAAAAAGAAGAGACTTAAAAGAACTCATGAACTCCAATCTTTTATAACCCCAAAGGCTTTCTAACTTTACAAACCTTGCAAGCAGGCTCATCCCAACATGGAAAACATCTTCTGGCATCTGCAGGCTCAAACTGCGTAACGGCCATGTTCTTCTTCTCTCCATTAATCTCATAAGTACTAAACACAACAAAAAGAAACACAAATTTATCAAAAACCTTAATTCGGCACATTTCGCAGTCAATAAAACAATCAATCAATTTGATTTTAAACTTAAAACTTCAATAAATAAAAAAGCTAATTTCATTTATTTTTACCTTCTATAAAAACCTTTCATTTTGTCATTCAAAACACCTTCAAATCCAATCGCGAGAACTCCAATCCCAATCGGAAGCGTTTCCGAAAATTGCAACACCAATATCTCATCCGCTTCAATTAAATCAAGTTTCACCGGTTGAAAAACCTGCTTTAATTTTTAATTAACAATCGCATTATTCAATTTTTTTTTATTATTATTATTATTATAAGAACAGCAGGTTGGTTAGGTCAGGTGTGGTTGGTTACCTTAGAGGAGGAGGTGAAGGAGACGGAACCGGAGTTGATAGAAAGGTCAGCAGCGTTGACGACAATGAAATTGGTGTTTTCAACGATATCGAGATCGATTGCGACGGAGCCAGCGAAAGTGCAGGCGGTTAAGTCCGGCGTGAGGCGGATATCGTAGCGTTTAGGGAGGGCAAATTTTGGGAGACGTGGCTGTCCTTTGAACTGATCCATTAGTGTGTTTGTTTGCTGCAAGTTTTGGTATGAGACAGTTTAGTGCGAGATGGGAGAGGTGGGAATTTATATGAATTGCCTATGGGACGCCGTTTCTACTGCTAAATACGTCAGCGTTTGCGAGATGATGACTTAATGTATTCCTACGAGGCATCTGGAATTTTTTTATTTTACAGAGAAGGGATGAGTTGGCTTGGAGATTTAATAATTGAATGAAGATGACCAGTTTTTTTGTTTTTATTTTATCATTGTTTTGGGGGGTTTTGGTGATCTGGTGCCCTTTGTCGCTATCTGACATCAGATGAGATTTTTGGAAAAATAAAATTTTTTAGTTTAAGATTTATTTTTATTTATAGAGTTTGGAGTCGCCACCTAATATTGAAGGAACTAGGAACCCTAAAATGGGTGCTGAATCGGAGATTCTACGATCGGGAGTTAGTTACGCTTTTGAAAAGATATTTAATCACCCAAAAGTGTCATTTCCTAAGAAAGTTATCACGTCCGGTTTAGTCCTAAATTCATCCGTTAAAATGTTTTATTTTTGCCAAATTATTTTCCAGTTTAAAACCCCAATTTTCTAAGTCCTTTATTTCAAGCCAAATTAAGTTTTTTATTTTTGAGCGTTACATTGTATTGAAACAATCGTCGGACCCCTTTCGTTGGAAGACAAATCGATTCAAACATTGAATTCACTTTTTTTAGTCTCGACACAACCGATGTATCGGAGAACACTTGTTTATTGAAAATGATTTTTTGGCTAACAACGAGTCCCCATCGGATAGGAGACTTTGTTAAAAAATTTATGATTTTTTTATTTTTTTCTTTTCTTTTTATTTATTTTTTTTTTTTTTTTTTTTGGGTGGAAGATCATCATCGATCCCTAAAGAATTAGGAGACTTGACAATTTTTCACCTATTACTTACTAAGCCTAATTACTAAAAGATAAATTAAAGCTACATGAATTAAATAAATGAAAGAAAATTCGAATACTGAAATTTAAATTAATAATAGACATGCATAAAATAAATTCAAGATTAAAATTACATTAATTAAAATAATTACATACAATTAAAATATTAAATTCCAAGTTAATATAAACTAACAAATATGCATAAAATAAACTCAAGATTAAAATTATATTAATTACAAAAAATAATAATGTTAAATTTTAAATTAAATATGAAATGATAAACATGCATAAAATAAACTTAAAACCAAAAACTAAAACATACATTTTCTTTTTCTTTTTGTCTGTTTTTCTTTTCTTTTTTGGACTCGGGCTAGATCGTCTAACCTACCTAAAAATTGGGGTCGACTAGACGTCATTGACCACAGTGGGTCAGTAAGCCCAACCCACACTTCTTAAAGAAAATAAAACTTTAGCCCAAAAACATAACTCAAATCAAAATTTCAAAACAATTAGATCAAAAACCTCTTCTTTTTCTCCTCTCTCTCTTTCCCGTTTACTCTTCTTTCGTCTTTCTTTTTCTTTCTTCTTCCTCCCTCTCCTAGCTACCTCCATGGACGAACCAAGGTTCATCCCTCCATCTCGTTTCTCTCTCTTTCTTCTTCCTTTCCTCTTTCTTCTCTTCTCTTTCCTTTTCCTTTTTACTTCTTCTTTTCTCCTTCACCTTTCTCTCTCCTATCGAAACTACCATGGACGAACCGAGTGGTGGTTCGTCCATGGCCACCTAATTCCTTCCCTTTTTTCCTTTCCTTCCTTTCTCCCTTCCTTTCTTCCTTCCTAAACCTCGTAATTTCTCTCTAGATCGAAAACTTCAAATCAATTTTTTTCAAAAAAATTCCCAATTTGGTCGAACCCTAAGTTTTGATGTTTCTTCAATTTTTTGTTCAAATGGGTCTAATTGACTTGATTTCTTTTGAAATCAAAATGAATTCAAACCCTTTAGGATTCGAATTTTTGAAAACCCCTAAATCAATTTTTCAAAACAAAATCAAGAACCCAAAGTTTTAATTGAAACTCCAATAGACTTCGATTGAGTTTAATTCGTGTTTCCCAACTCCCATTTCAAACCAATTTTTGAAAAATCCAAATTTCAACATTAACCTAAATTGACCGTAAAAAAATCCGAATTTAAAGAAATATTAAAGAGGTTACTTATAAGAATTAGGCCGAGGATGATGGTGGATTGCTCCTCCCGAAAAGGTAAAGTCTCTTTCTTTCTTTCTTGTTTTATTTTTGGATTTTGTTCTTTTTTTGCTACTTGTCGGTTTCGTTTTTTTTTTTTTTAGCTTGGGTTTTTTCTTTCAATTTCGAGCTCGATTCTCTCTAAATTTCGGATCGAATCCTCCCTTTTGTGTGTGTTTGCTTATGCATATATATGTCTATGAATGCTTGGTTCTCCACCATGATGGTGTGAGATTTTTCTTTTGCGGGATTATCAAGTGGGAGGGTTGGATTGGATGGGATTGAGTTGTGGGTCGTGGCGGGGTGGCTCCTAGCAATAGGGGTGGCCGTAGAGGAGGCCGTCAATGGAGGTTATGAGCTATAAGGGAGGCTGGCAAGTGGGGGTACCGATATTGTTGATCGGAGTTTATGGGATAGGGTGGTGCTTGTAGGAGTTACAGCGAGTGAGGGGGTGTTGATATTGTTGATCATGGAAGGAAGATTATGGGTCGCAAGTTGAGAGAATTGTGCCAGTGAGGTCGCTAAGATCGAAATTCAAGGCTGAAACTTAGTTCCCAATGAAACGAGATTGCGATAGCATCGGAACTAAAACTAGTTCAAAGGGAAGTAGGATTTCCAAAATCTCGAAACTAGTTATGGGCAAAGTGGGCAACCAGTCGTCGACTCCTCTACAATTTTACAATTTTTCTTTCTTTTGATTTTTGTTATTTTGCAATTTTGATCCCTATAAATTATTATTAGGTTAACTTGGTCCCTATCTAATATAATCCGAGCCTTGCACTTTGAATGATTCAATTGTACCCCCAATTAATGTAATTATTTTAAATTTAATGCAATTGCATCCCCGAATGTTAAATTCAAATTATTTTTGTATTTTTTTTTTGTGCAAATTACTAAGTAAAGTGAAAGATAAAAAAATTAAGATAAAAAAATGAAAAAAAAAACTTAAAATGAAATAAAAGAAAACAAATAACCAACTAAAAATAAAAATCCTAAAATTTTGGTTATGACACACTTCATGCATGATAAAATTTTAGACAAGCCTTTTTTTTTCTCTTTCTCGAGAGATTTAGACAAAATATTTGTAAAGGGATATTGTGTATTTCCCAAAAATTTTCTAACAACCTTCCTTTAAATTTAAAGATAATATTTTTTTAAATAACCTTTTTTTTAACTCACACACCTAAGCTCCTAGTAGAATAAATCTGTTAAGATTTAAACTCGTGACCTCTTGATGCAAAAGACCACTACCACTAAATTTAAAGATAATATGATAATGTGGGAAGCAAATATATTTACATGATGATTTTTTTTCTTTTATATAATGACTTAAAGAGATTAAATCAATCAAGTGACATGTTTCACTTTTTAATTTATTTTTAATTGAGTTTTTGTACTTTTATTATTTAAATATATTTATTTTTATTTTACTTTTAAATAAAAAGTTGACATACGTGACATAATTTGTTAACATGTCATGTGTCAATATAACGGTTACTTCAGCTCACACATGCGTACATACATACACATAGGATATTATTTATACGAGTTTAGTATAGTGAGGTTGAAAAGTGAAACGGGTAAAACTATAATTGTGCAATAAGCCCTAATTAAACCCAAGAGATTCATGTTTAGGCTATAAATCGTTGATAGTGATCCTAAAAAAGCCACCATGTCCGCACTTATTTAGATCATCCTCAAAATTTTCTTTTTCTTCACTACCTTTATGGCTAGCACTTCATGTTCTAATAAAGAAAGCATTTTAGTTGAAAACTTTGATAACCGATTATAAGAGGGGAAACTACAAAATACCTTTGTAAAAAATATCTACAAAGGTTTTCTTAATTTCTTATCCGATTATATAATTAAGTCGGAAAAGAAATCATATCCCTCAAAAAAAGGTATGATACGTCTTAATTACTTGTCTAAGAGACTAATCACAAACAAAAATACAAGTACTTACACTCGGAATGATCCAAGTAGGGTTAAAACCCTTGACAAGAACCGAACTAAATACATCCGTCCCGGTGATGGTAAGAGATCAAAGACATAATGTCTTTAAGGATTGCTTATTAGGAATCATAAAATCTAACCTTTTGTGATGGACCTATTCACTTTTGGTGCTTTCTCAACTTCACGGTATCCTTTTCGGATCCAAACCTTTTTAAGTCTTAACCTTAAATATTAAAACTAATGATTTCAATATGCTTGCGGGATTAGAAAACATTAACCTAATTAATTGGGTATGTTACAAGGTCATGAATACTTTAGCGCTTAATATCAAGCAAACCCTAGAACTAATGAGTTCTTAAAAAGAGAAACTATCATGTTTCTTATTAATGTATCCAAATCCAATTTAGTGATACCTAAAATAATTGAATATAGTTAGATCTCTCTATAAGAAACTTGGACGTTAAAATAAACAGACTCCTCCAAAAAGAAGAACCCAAATAACTTGAGAAGATTACTCGGTTTGTTAATGGAGTCATAACAATTTCATTTTTTCCTTCTAAAAAAATTAAACTAAACCTTCATAATCATCCTAGTCCCGCATCCTTCGGGTTCTCAACCTCTTCTATCCATATATCGGAGATAGAAAATGAGTTAATTTTTGCCCTAAATAGGTTTGGATGTCGGATAGGTCACTCTTAATATAGGATTGATTTAGCTACATCAAAAACATCATTTGGGCCTAAAAGTAGGCTTTCTTTACTATCAATGTTTGACATAGGCAATAATATAGTCGTCTTATAGCATGGAATAATATTTTCCTCTATATATATGGAGAAGATGTTCAATAATCCTAAAAAAAATCATCAAAAGAAATGGTTTTTAACTTAAATTAGTTTGA